ACTGAGCAGCAGAACGTCAACTACAGCTGACTGTACTTGGCACCAACACTGTACCACTTAATGTGTGTGTATATCTATTTGTGTGGATGTACAATCTTCTGTTACGATTTTGTTTTATAAAAACCCATTTGAATTGATATCTACTGAACAATTAATTGTTTTTACACTGACTTTTAGTTAACCATGACTTAGCATGCTGTAAAATTATCTTACTGAAGTATTGTTGCGTAGGTAACGTTCAGATTACAGTCATTAGCTGTTGTTGACAGCAAGCAGATAGTGAACAGTAGTAGGAATCTCCCACTTCACCTTCTGCGCACGTCTTATGGTTGTTTTAAGCTCATCACCTTGAAAGGACTGAATTAGAGCCTTGGGGATTTGTGGCTCTGGACTGGCTTGTCCTGTCGGTCTATGAAGCTAATACTAGCAGCATTATCATCAGGGGATGTTAGTCAGATATTCGCACATTTTTAGACATGACTAATACTTGTTAGTGATACACATGATGGCAATTTTCTAAACAGGAGTATAACTGATGCCACTAAGGTGATATAATACTAAATGAAGGCTCAGCTGTTCTGCCTTTTCTTACTTAAATAGTTATTTTAGTTTGGGGTCATTAAGTGAACTTAAAGTTTCCGTTCAGAGTAAGGCTGAACGACATGCAAAAAAAAGACAAAAAAACATATTGCAATTGTGATACGTGTGTGTATGTGTGTGTGTGTGTGTGTGTGTGTGTGTGTGTGAGTGTGTGTGTGTGTGTGTGAGTATGCATGTAAGTGTAATAAATATTTCAGCACATTCACTGTCAACTGACACCTCTTGAGTTTACAGTGAGCGTTCACCACATGAGGGAAAGTGACTTCATGAATGACAAAGACCTCCATGTGTCTGTGTGTGTGTGTGTGTGTAATCCCTGTCTTCTGCTGCTCCAACAATGCCACTGGTTAATCTCTAGATTATGAGCCAGTCTCACTCACCCAATACAACCCTCCACACACAGACACTCAAAGACACACACACACACACACACACACACACACACACACACACACACACACACACACACACACACACACACACACACACACACAAGTAGGCTGAGGTAGAGGTGTTTGATGCAGTGAGAGACAGAGAATGAACTCATACCACTCCACATTCCTTGCATGGCTCACATAACTTTCCTCATCAGTGTGTGTGTGTGTGTGTGTGTGTGTGCATGTGTGTTAGGTCATATGGCTACAAATGTGTGCAAGTGTGTGTTCAAGCTGCACCCAGCCCACACTGATTGTATTCATTCTGAAGCCCTAGAATTAGCCAGACCCCAAAAAAGCCCAATAATTACCACTTCAGCTCCATGATGCCCACCCTGTGACCATGCACTGACAGACACACTGAAACATACAGTGCTGCACTCATTAAAACACATTCAACCACACACTCATACACGTTAACTCAAACATACAGACTCACACAAAATCATCAACACACTGCAATAGACACAACTGCATACACACATAGAAAGGCGTGTAAAAGGACAGACACAAAGAGGTGAGCACACACAAAAATACACACACACACACACACACACACACACACACACACACATATATATATACACATAGCTCTCTGATCAATAAAACATTGCACATGTTGGTGTTATATAAATGAGAGAGAGGAAGAGAGAGATAGAGAGAGAGCAAGCCGCTGGCCTGGTTGTCAATAGCAACCGTGTTTTGGAGGCTGATCATCAGTAAGTGCAGTCAGCCCCATTGCAAAGCATGGTGGGATATCACCATGCTTTGCGCCCGCAGATGATGGTACCTTGTGAGTCTGAATACAGATACATTTTTACCACGGTTTAATTCTGTATTTTTAACTGTATACATTAAAATGCAGTTAAATTCAGCTGTAACATCACATTTCAGTGGGCAGCGTGCTCTGGTTCATCCAGAGGCCCACTAGATTCTGACTGACAGGGAATATGGAGCAGAACATTTCAACTGAGAGCAAACTCTGATCCTCACAACACTGCACCGTCATCAACTGCATCTCACTGATTCTTCTAACAAGTATGATTTCCGTTTCTGTCTCTTCAGTTTATGTACATTTAAGGAGGCCCTTCAATGGTTTAGTGCTGATCTTCTTTAAAGCTGGGGGACTCACTGGACACAGCTGAACGGTAAAAATCAAAGCTGAGGTTTTTTGCTATAAATTTTTTGTCACAAAGCCAAAATAAAGATGACCCCTGATGACATCGTCAGGGTTACTTTAACAGACTTCGGAAAAGCTCCTCCAGAACCACAGAAGACATTAATCAACTGTTTTTTTTTTTTACAGGCTTAGTAGTTCTCTTTGTGACAAGGTGATTGCTCCTTTAACAGCAGATAAACAAATATTTAAAGACCCCCTCCGATGAAAATCAAGTTTTCAAACTTGTCCAAATGGTGTTTTTTATATAATACAAGACATATCATGAGCAAAATAACTGTCAACACCATGATTTCCACCTTGAACAGCAGTGAACCAATGACAGTCTCATAAAAACGATTCAGACAGCCAGGGTTTCATACGTCACAAACCTTAGGAACCAATCCTGTCAATTTGTGTGGACGGGGGGTGGGGCTAAATAAACCTGAAATTTTGTCAGTACAGAGAGAGAGTTAGCATTAGCACAACTACTTACACTGTGTCAGCCACTGCCAGTTACAAGCTAACAAACAACATAAACAAATAAAAGATGCTAACTGAGCTAACAGTTCTGATCCGTCTGTTAGTCTCTGATTCTGGTCTCAACAGACTCCTCATCTGAGTCTGGGTCTGACTGAGGCTCAAACATGTGGCTGAGTCTCTCTGATGTTTCCTCCTCTAACCATCTTGATACTCTCTGCTCTTTCACCTGTCAGCCTGGAGCAAGCAGGTGGTGGGCGGGGCACAAGGCCTGGTCCAGAATTTCTCAATGAGGAAGTAAGAGTAGACGAGCTTCCAGATATCCCCTTTTTTTCCACTGGAAAACCACACTAAACAAAAAATGAATCATAGCAGAGTATTTTTTACAGAGTTTAAAATGTGTCTGGGGAAGAACTTTTAATATAAGCATCAGACAACATTTATCCCTCTAAAAAGTAAACACTTGAGCAACAACAAAATCAGATTCTCAACAGGATTAAAATAATTTACTAACAGGAATTCTTGACCTGGTTTCACCTAAAACTCTCAACCTGACCTCTGCTCACACTCTTTTCCCCAACAGAAAACTTTGAGCTGTTAACTGACACCTGCTGCGGTTCCATCACATGGCGCTTTAACTTCTCAAACTGAAACCAAACACACTTCTTCTCTGCTATGATACAACTCACTTCACTGAAATCTATTAGTCCCAGGAGTAAAAGCAAGAAAGCATATGAGTGTGTGAATGAGTGTGTGTGCATAATAGATGCTCTCAGCTTTCATCTTCCTGCTGTATGTGACGTAATGCAGAGACAGATCAATGCAAGCACTGCTATATGGCCCACAGACATTGGGGCGGGGGGGCGGTTAGGGTAATTACTTTGTCCTGTGGGGGTGTATCACTCTTACAGCCAACAGCCTGGATCTGAATGTGGGTCAATACACACACACACACAGACAGACACACACACACACACACACACACACACACACACACACACACACACACACACACACATAATTGAGTGGCCAGTTGTTCCAGATGAAGGACGTTTGAAGTAAATTCAGGTCAAACAGTGGAAGTAGAAAAGAGCGTAAGTGCATCACAGACACTTCACTGCAGAGATGGGTGAGAGGTGGTCAAATTTACAGCTTATCATCACATTTTATGAGGAGTTGAGATGTCATTTTATCAAACAACAATTCTCTTAGTATTTCAGTTTCCAGGGTAACAACAGGATGGCGCATTGGTGTTGCACCGTACACTTGAGGAGGTTGAAGAAAACTCAGTTATGTCTCTTGCCTGGAGGTAGTTTCCATCCCTCCCTCATGTCATAAATCACAAAAACATCTCAATGGAACTGGCAAAAGTCAATAGTCAAGTCATTTAAAAGCCAACTTAATTTTGAACACACATTGTTTCAAGCATGTGCCTTTTAACAAGTCAACAGACACCTTCAGGAGGCATTTTTTCCCTTATGATTTGGACACAGCACAAGCAGAACAAAAGGCCCTTCCACCAGCAGAGAAGCAAATGTTTATAGATTTATATTATGATACATTATGAAAAGCCAAGCCAAGATGCTACTTTTTTGTATCAATGTGAGGTAATGAAATATCCACAATTTCACTGTGAAAAATGTAACTTCATTTTAGACGTGAAAGGAAAATCTAGGCTAACTGTATTGATAAAATACACGTGAAGGTGCAGTCGGGGGGGTGGGCATGAATCAGTTATTGGTGAAAATGTATAATATAGCTATAATAGTGATATAAGGCACTAAGGCGTTTTAGCAGTGTTAAAAATCGATTTTACATTAAATCAATAACATTTTTGGATCTTTTTTAATGGCATTCCTGTATTCTTGGTGTTAAATGATTATCCAGAAAACCAAATCAATAATGCAGGAATATTCTTCTTGTTCTTAGTAGTCAGTATGATATTCTATGTTGACACTATACTTTAAATTATATCCTTCTATAGTTTACCACAAGGTTCCTGTCGCTGGGGGGTCGCTTGGCTGTCAATACATAAGATATGTAAACAAACCAAAATATTTAACGAAATAACGCTTTATGTTGGAAATATGTACGAGGTGCGGACATCACAGTCATAAATGCATTGGGTGAAACTGAAGGTAGCTGTAAAGTATGAATTATAGCTTGAGTCTGGCTGAATTATTCTTCAGCTGCCGTTTCCTCTGTGTTGTCATTTCCACACACCACACTGTTCAGTCCTCGACCGTCGCTGCCGGACGAAACGTAACGTCACAGAGTCCATTATCGGACAGACCGTCTGTTATCCAGCAATGGCATTAAGGCAAATTTACCTGAAAATGGTTAATTCCGTCGTTTCACGCCGACTCTCCGGAGCTGCCAGGCCCGGATGCCCTCCTCCGCTTTATCCGCCCACTGAAGTAGCCTGAAACACAGCTCTGTCTGTGTTCGGCTTTGGCTCCAAACGCTCCGACAGAAAAATAAATATGCTCCGAAACACGCAGGCAGATATGAGGCGTGTAAGGATGGTCAGCTACAGACAGAACCCCCGAAATGTCGTTCGAGTGGAGGTGAGAGCAGTTTAAAGAGGCTGGAGGAGGATCTGCTGTCGACAGACGAGACGGGAGGGGTGCGATCCTGCCGTCAAGCGCCACACAGTTTAAGGGAATTTCCTGTAACGTTTCAAAATAAAACTATTCTCAGCCTTTGAGCAATTTTTTTAAACGTCTTTCAAAATAAAAGTGTCAATAGGGATTTTCACATTTTTCGGCCACAGTGTTCAAATAAGTTACGTAATATTTCAATAATGTCCATGAACATTTATGGAGATAATAATAGATAAAGAGATATAAGTCAGGTTAGTTCCGCTTTAATTCTTGAAAACTACCATGAGTTTGACTTAACTGGATGCAGATAAAGGAAACAATAGTATCCTTATTTGAATAGTTTCTTTTCCGCTCTTCCTTTTAACTCATTTCCTTCTGACATTACAACACTGTGAAACACTGTTTCAGCGTTTTGTCCCAGGAGGTCTTCAGTGAAATAATGAACATACAGGTACAGGCTTATAGACATTTAAAAAGAAAATAAACAAGACTAAAAGAAGAAGCTATTCATTAAAAAAAAAAAAAAAAGACAGTTGTACTAAAACATACTTTCCATTGATTAATTTTAAAATTATCCTTGAAATTATTGCTTGCTTATTGTTAATATTTTACAATAACATTCAAGGATGAAAATAAATAGCTATAATCTGTGTAGGGGACAGAAACAGAGAAGACACTAGGCATAGATTGGACAGATAACTAGAAACAAGCATTGAGATAAATTTTTGGTTGTACACCACCACCTGCTGGAAAAAAACTGCAGCTACTTGAATTATTGTTATCCAACATTGGTAATGCAGACAATGAGTAAATCGGAACAAATATTATTATTATTACTTTGTGACATGGCGTATTATCCTGCTTGAAATGGACATTAGAAGATGGTTAATTATTTCCATAAACGGATGTATATGGCAGCAACAAAACACAGATAGATTGTGTCATTCAAACAATGATTGATCAAGATTAAGAGGCCAACGAAATCAATCCCATCGATGCCAAATTCAAACCGGACCATCTGCTACCTGAGCATAAATCCAGACTCATCAGATCAGCTAAGTTTTTCCAGTCTCCATAGATCAAATATTGTCGTAAATAGTCGACTAATGGAGCTCATTTCCTGTCCAAACTTAACACAACAACAAAACATGTTTTCCAAATGCCCTGTGACTCCCTAACAGTATTGCTTGCACATGCAAAACACCACTAACGAACTCATACATTTTCTTTTGCAGCAAACAACTACTTGACAACATATTTCTAATAAACCATACATAAAACTACAGCCTGTCATATAAACCCACTTTTGGTACAATCTTTCAGCCGTGATGATGCTCTAGATTTTCTTGCGCGTCCTGAGTAATATGCCTCTTCACCTCCACAACAGCAGAAGGCGCCATGAGACCATTTAAACGCACTGATAGGTGAAAACGATTATCAACGTCAATGAAAATGTTGATGTCAGAAGTGGGATTCGAACCCACGCCTCCAGAGGAGACTGCGACCTGAACGCAGCGCCTTAGACCGCTCGGCCATCCTGACAGTAAATATACTGTACAGTACGTACAGTAACGTACTCACACCACGTTCCACTTAAAAGTCACTTGTAAGGGCACTTCATTCCGGGTTATTGCATATGCAGGAAATCTGAAGGCCGTTTTGTATTGGCTTTAGCGATAAATCTTTTCCACCTCTTTCCCAAAATAGTTTAAACACGAACTTTATTTATTTTATTTATTTATTTTTATTTATTTATTTATTTATACACAAAATCCTCCAGCAACTTCGCTTGAGTTTTTCTTTATAGTCCCTAGAAATTGATGTAGTGGTTCCATGGTGTAATGGTTAGCACTCTGGACTCTGAATCCAGCGATCCGAGTTCAAATCTCGGTGGGACCTGATTTTGAGAAGCCGTACAGGAAGAACAAAAGGCGGTCTCACACTAGGGTAAAATCAGCACTTGACCCTATAAGTGTGTAGAACTTCTGTGCAGTGATCAATGAACTGTAACTGACAAAACAGGTAACTTTGACACCAGTTGACCAGACACACCTATGTCTGTTCATTTCTTAACTGAAACTAATTGTCATTGTTGTCTATTTTATACATGAGCTTTCAACACCCTCAACTAAAATCATAAATGTATTTATTTATTATTATAACCATGACAATGAAACTCTTGTCCAACTGCCACTGCAGGGAGGCTATTTCAGGAGATACTTGAGTAGGTCATATGAGAGGGTAGGGACCTATATGGTCGTTCAGCTTGAGGAACTTGTAGATTGTTTGTCTGTGTCCAAAATCAATATACTGGTTTAAGCTGAATTAATCAATTTCTGGCCACAGATAAGGATATATAGAAATAAATGAATAGTTAAAAAGTAAAAGATGAAAAACTGGTCTGTCTGTCCCATTTTGTTGTCCATTCATTTAGTTTGAGTTGAGATTTTGAGTTCACTCAAATCATGACATTTCTGAGCACAAATCTGGACCCTGAGTGCATTAGGGTCAGAAGCAGAGATATTTAAATGTGAGAGCAGGTCATTAGTGATTTTCCCAGCAGCTTTCAGTCCCAGCCTGCATTCATACCTCTGGCATAAAAAAACAATCAATACTACAAACCATGGGACCATGTGCTGTTCTTCAAAGGACTGTTTCTTTTTTATAGTTATTTTATTTAATTCCCAGTGAAATTTACGGTTTCAGTGCACTGATTATGGACAATAAAACTTATTGTTAAACTGTAAAATATCCTGCTTTCATTACATATCTTTTTCACAAGTGTTTGGTGTTTTTATCTATATATATGTATATATATATATACAGTACATATATATATATATTTATCCAAATTTTTTCACTTTTTTTACTCCTATCAGCCCCAAAAATCCAATATCGGTTGGGTTCCACTTGGACTCCAGTGATCAGGGTTCAGATCTCAATAGATCCTGGTGAAAGAATGGAAGTTGTGGGGGAAGTGGTGTGTGGGCCTCTGTGGTCTGATTACATTACCTGGTTTGATGATAATAAAATAGAAAGACAGATGACTGAAAACATGAATGTCTTAACCGTTTTCAGGAGAATTTGATATCATTTGAGTACCATATTAACTGTGTGGTTATAGCTTTGGTTAGTGATTTCCTGGTCTTACTGTTGCCATAAACAACATAAGATGTGTATTACTGCTAAAGCCTTATGTTCACTATAAGTCAACCTTTAAATTAGGTTCCACCGAGATTTGAACTCGGATCACTGGATTCAAAGTCCAGAGTGCTAACCATTACACCATGGAACCACAGAAAGGATTAACATTGTTCACGTTGTACCGATATTTGACTGTTCAATTGAATTTGTGCAAGCAGCTCATTGAGCGCAGAGAGAGGTTTGAATTACCACAATTGGTGGAAACTGAAATCCAAATATTGTAGTTAGATTGCCACCTGAACGCAGCGCCTTAGAATGCTCAGCCATCCTGACTGCATAAGGAGCCTTTATGCTTAATCCATAGCAAGATCTTGGCACACTTTCATTTGGAATTGTATGTAGGATGTAGGAAATTTCATGTTTGGCTAGTAAACGTAGGTTTGCTAACTGTAGCTTTAGCTAGCACTCTGTAATTTGAACATCTACATTTTCATTGAACACACACTTTGTGTCATGGAAATGTACAACAGCATCATACAATATGAATGTCGCTCTTAATATAGGCTATATTACATAGCATACAATAGGGATAGGGCAGCATTGCGATACCGAGTCTAATTTTGTGAAAATTGCAACCTGTATCTGATTAAGGTAGTAAACGTAGGTTTGCTAACTGTAGCTTTAGCTAGCACTCTGTAATTTGAACATCTACATTTTAGCCCTGGTTCTCAGCATATCTGTAATTTGAACATCTACATTTTAGCCCGGATTCTCAGCATTTTAGGGCCGACGGTACTTGGGACAGTAATAAAATTATGTGTAGTTCAATATAATATAAACATGGGCTTTTTTTACCTGTAGCTTGGCAGGTATTTCGGTTGGATTTGACATCATGTGACTGATTGACCAAGTGAGCAGAAAGAAAGTGGGCAAAGCTAGCTAATGCTGCATTGAGAGACAAGAGAGGATGTAGGAAATTTCATGTTAGTGTCTAAGAATGTACTCCCTAGAAACAGTTCGTTAAAGGGTGCGATGGTTTGACCTACCGCATCGCCACTTGTGGTTGAAACAGAACACAAACATTCCTGCAAGTGTTTGTCAACTTTTTCTTTCCTGATGTCAAGTCTTGTTAAAACCACAGGCTGTCAGAAGTGGGATTCGAACCCACGCCTCCAGAGGAGACTGCGACCTGAACGCAGCGCCTTAGACCGCTCGGCCATCCTGACTGCGTAAAGTGCTGTTCAGGCTTAATCCAAAACGAGATAAGACATCGCTTCCAGGAAGTGAAAATAAATTGCATCAATCACAATGCATTGGGCCTAAATGTCTTTCTAAATTTAGATCTACAGTGAATAAAAGTAGGGGATTCAATGTGTACATGTTGTCAAGTAAAAGGAAGCAAATAGGTGCTAGTGGGTAATTTCCTGATGCTGACGAAAGGTGGGTGATTTTCCCAAAAAAGGAGGGCACACAGTGTTACTACATCCAAACAAACAGGTCCCACCGAAATTTGAACTCGGATCGCTGGATTCAGAGTCCAGAGTGCTAACCATTACACCATGGAACCACGGAACAGCTCCCTCTGTTGGCTGCTGGAGCGCGTAGTGCAATAGAATTTAAAGCCTCCCGTAAAGCATGAATGGCAAGAGATTGAGTCACTTAAAACTCGTATAAGTTATATTACGTTACACACTAATTATACTAACAGGGTCTTCTTGCAAACCATCAAAACATAGAACCACTGCACACACTTTGTGTCATGGAAATGTACAACAGCATCATACAATATGAATGTCGCTCTTAATATAGGCTATATTACATAGCATACAATAGGGATAGGGCAGCATTGCGATACCGAGTCTAATTTTGTGAAAATTGCAACCTGTATCTGA